CCCGGGGGGGGGGGGGGGTCTCCGCAGTGGCCTAGGGTGGCGCAGTCAGGGCTCTCCCGTTTATGTGTATGGTGACGCAGTAGAATAAGAGGGTCTCAGATGCGCACTGTGGATAGATCAGCAACCCCCCCCCCCAGGTGGCAACGATGGGGGACCGCACAAGGGGACCCCACAGAGTGCAGGTCTCAGAGTTCTGGGGGTCCTACCACTCTGGGGAAAGGTTAAAGGAGATTTCGGTTGGGGTTTATAGTCGTTTGGGGGGGGGGGTCTCAGAGACTGGATAACCCTGTGCACGCAGAACTCACAAACACCTTGCCGCGCAGGCTATAGCTGCCGAGGTGCGCTGTTCCATGCCTCAGGCGCCAGCTGCAGGGTCGGTCAGTCAGCTCCCCTCTCCTCTATCTGTACCCCTTCCAGCCCTTCTCCCCTTGCTATGAGTATCCTGGGGCAGCCACTTTACTTTTCTATTGCTAGAGCCTGCCGAGACGACTCTAAACCCGGCCATAAACCCAGCGGTCGCCCGCCCGGCTGCGCTCCAGTTCCGTGCCGCTGTGGGCTCGGAGCCAGCTGGGGAGAAAATATGCACACCAACTGGTGGGCTCAGACCGTGCGTGCGCACTGCTTTGGGTCTGGGGTCTACGGAGGAATTTGAGCCCGGGGGCGGGGTTGCTGCTGAGGGTCAAGTAAACCCCCGCACGCGCGCATCGGGTCAACATCGCCAGCAGGTGACGCGGACCGGTGAGAGCACCTGGGCAGGGGGCATGTGGTCACCTTGCCTACAAAACCTGGGGGAGTGGTGGCCGGATGAGTTACACGGGGTGAGCTGCGGCAAGCAGGGCGCACCGCGCGGATCGCTGTACACTAGCCGCATGCGGGCGAATCACTGTCCGGTTGGATTACATTAAGTTGATTGTATCCCTCCTAGAACCAGGGTACCACAGCCATAGAGCATTGCCCCCCTGCATCTACCATCCATGTGACGGCGCTGCGCCAAGAAAAGCTGACAAAGTCAGATCCTGGGTAACATTTAGGGCCTTCCAGAGGCATCTCACCTTAGCTCTATGGGTTACACACTTCCAGATGCCAACACTAAACTTTGGTTCAAACTTTGGCCAACTACCCCCACGGGTAATGGCTTAACCATTCGGGCATCCACTGAATGGTCCAACTAGGTCCTAACAATCAACTCTTTCCCCTCCGACCCCAGCCCTGGGTCAACCATTGGGCTGGGGTCATGCCAATCAAGGCTGCCTGGCGAATGAGCAGGGGGGTGTCGCACCGGAAACCGGATATGGGTGGGAGGTCCAATAGGGGGCGCCGCGTTGGAACGCCGAAGAGGTGCAGCTTGGGTGGTTGGAAGCCGTCGGTGGGCGGGTGTATGGTGGCCAGGCCTGGAAGGCCACGAGCACCGCTAGCGCCGTGGGGTCACTCTTTCCGACACCACACTTCGCAGTCTGGGTGAGGAGGTCGGGGGCTCGCAGGAGCCAACCCTTGGGCTCGTCGATGGCCGTGGGCTAACCTACTCAACAGAGGGGGCTGCCACTGGGGCGAGGCGAGGAGAAAGAAGATTTCCAGGGCCTGGGGGTAGTGAGCCAGGACCGTGAGGTCCTGCTCTCACTGCCCCGATGCAGAGGAACAGCCCACGATGGATAAGGAGTTGAGGCCCCAGGGATGCTGAGCCCTGCAGAAGCGGAAGGTCAGTAGACGTGTGGGTTGGAGCCCCAGGGACGCCACGATGGGGCCCCAAAGGGATGGTTTGCTCTCGCCAGGCCTCGTGCTCACCCCCAAAGCACCATTCATGGAAGGACGGAGCCAGGGTCTCTTTGTTCAACATTCTCCTGGGCTTGTAGGACCCCTTCGTTCAAGATTCTTTCTGCTATTATGGTTCTTTGCCAGGAGAGCACATGCATTGAGGGGATATAGGTTGGGCGCATACCAGCCCCCCATCCTAAAGATACAGCAGCATAAAAATCAAAGAAAGGACCTCGAATTGATTATGGTTCTTTGCCAGGAGAGCACATGCATTGAGGGGATATAGGTTGGGCGCATACCAGCACCCCATCCTAAAGATACAGCAGCATAAAAATCAAAGAAAGGACCTCGAATTGGGGGGGACCCTAGAAGTGTTGATGGAGAAAATGGCGTTTCAAATGGGCCTCCGTGTAAAGATAGCCGCCTTGGCTGTGAACTGGAGGGTGGGGGGAGGGGGTGAGATTTGTCTACCACGAACAAAGGATCCAATGGTAGGAAACAAAAAGGCAGTTAAAACTGGATAAAATTTCTTTGATGATACCATGGAGTCTCAGGGCAAAGCACTTCTGAGGCTATTTTAGTAGCAAATGGAGAGGATGTTGCAAGTTTATCCTGCAAGTGAGGATTTGAACCTAGATCTAGGAAAGGTAGAAGCAATGTGGATGGTCCTGAAGAAAAGAACAAAGGAAAGGGGTTACACACAAGGGAGGTTGGGTCTGGCCATGACCTTTAAGGAAGGGACCTAGATAGTGCAGGAAGACTGAAGGAGGGGGCTGGGGAGGAGCGAAGTTCCCCAAAGGACCCTCTAGCAACTTTTGTGCTAGAAAGACACAAAAGGTGGAGGACCCAAAGTTTGGCACCTGGATGATGGAACACTAGGAACAGGATAGGGAAGTTGGGGGAGGAGCTGGAGAGGTGTTGGCGTGCTAGCGGGACCAATTTAGTTTTAGACATGGCAGAGTTGAAGAAAGGATGGGGAATTGGGATGGAGATTTTTACAGCCCATTATTTGGGAGGAAGGGTCTGAAATTTAGAAAAAAGGTAGATAGAGACCATAAATTCAAATTGGCAATCACCCTTATTAAGACACGAGAACACTGGATCAGATAAAACCCTCCAGGAGAGAAATATATTTGGAGATAGAATCTTGAACGATTGGAGTACTGGACGGGAAAGAGCAGGGAGGGCTCACAAGGGAGAAGTGGGAGCACACCAGAGGAGAGGGTTTCAGAACCAGTCAGCAATGTAACCTAGAGCATGGATTCTTAGCCTCTGCGTTGGTGACATTTTGGGCCAGGTAATTCTTTGTTGCGACTGTCCTGTGCACTGGAAATTGCTGAGCAGCATCCCCAGCCTCTACCCACTAGATGCCAGTAGCATCCCCTTAGTTGTAACAACCAAAAATGTCTTTAGATTTTGCCAAATGTCCTCTGGGGGGCAAAATCACCCCCAGTTGAAAATCACCTGCTATACACTGAGAAAGGACCCTTAGACTTGAATAGGAATTGCCTTCATTTAAAGGTAAATTAGGACCAGGAAGAACAAATACCAGTATTTAACCCTGATGTCCCCCCCATTTTTTTCACTGTTTCTCTGTAGTGACTGGCTACTGGAATATGAAAACCCCAGATTACTTGGGTGAGTGGGGCTAAGAGCTGAAACTCCACTGTACATCAGCAGTGGGGCTTGAGAGACCCCAGAGTGTGGCCACATGTTTGAGAAGCTAACCTGAAAGACGGCTGGGTGGCGAGGCCACAGGGACCTGAGGGAGCCAGTATGGTAAGAGCTGGGGGTGATCAGCTAGTGGGCTAACTGGGGGTCACCTTGATTGGTTGGATTGTCTGGCGAGCCTGCTGAGGGCTGGCAGTCTTGTTAGCTCAAGACAGAAACATGGCCTTGACCTGGATGGAGATGGGCAGTGCTGGGCGTTGGTGGGCAACCTGGTCTGGGGTCTAAAACCACCAGGGGCATTTTTCCTAGGATCTGCCCTCATAAATGTATAATAGCAAAGTAACTGAAATATAGATTTCCAGTTCTGGACAGATTTGCATGAGGGGAAGAGGCAAATATTT